AACACCAAATACATATTCATAAAAATGAAAATGTGTACAGCTTACAGCTTTTTTTTTTTTTTTTTGTAACTTGTACACTCTGTGTGAAAGATTCAGAATTTTCTTGTTCTGTCACGTATGTGTAGATTTGTGAGTGGGTCTTGGTACTTTGCACAAACACGAGCAAATGCATAAGGATAGTATCTCACTGGGCTGTAACTGTTGGCTCTTAATTTTCTCATGGGAGTCGCATAGGCTCACAGTCTTGTATGAATTTTGAATATGTCCAAAAAAATTGGTGCAGCTAAATTTCCTTCAAAAAGGTTGTGTTGGGCATCTTGAATCATCTCAATTTAGTTTCTGTAAACTAAAACACTACAGCTGAATTTTGACACCTGCAGGGGAGCTTTTCTTGTGACTGAAAACATCTAAGGCCTTAGTCTTGAATGATCAAGTCTAAAACACACACCAAGGATTAACAAACAAAACACTGGTCCCAATCTACCTAACTTAGTTTTAAAGGTGGACTCTTAAAACGCCTATGACATCAGATTTTCAAAAGAAACATGAATACATTTTTAAAAAGATAACATTAAACAGTGTTTCCCTAGATTACTGGCCTTGGCAAGGCGCTTGTCAGATGGGTGGTAGCGGAGCGCTATGTTACTAATGCTGGTGGTTGTTGACGAAGGAGGGGTGAATTTTGGTAGACAGGGTGCTCGGTTTTGTTGACAGGGCAGGGCGCCCTCCTTGGATAATGGTAGGGGAAACAAATGTCACTAGTTTCCACTCTCACTAGTTGTTATATATCGTCCACCAGGCTCCAATGCTCAGTTTATGTCTGAATTCTCATAATTCTTAACTGACTTAATACTAAATACTGATAAAGTCATAATAATGGGTGATTTCAATAGTAGATGATGAAAGTGATAGATCAAGCATAGCCTTTAAAAATTTAATAGTCAACTGGTTTACCCAAAACCTCTGAACATCTACTCATTCTTATCATCACACTCTTGACCTGGTTCTGACTTATGACATCAAGACTAATGACTAAGTAATACATCCTCAAAATCCTGTTCTGTCTGACCATTTTTTTTAATTACCTTTGAGTTTACATTAAATGACTACATAGTCACTGAGAGTAAATT